CCGAGCATTCCGACGGGAGGGCGGCCTCGGGCCCGGCTATTGGTTAACGGTACCGGCAAACCGTCGTCGGATGAGAGTAAATAATAATAATAATAATAATAGTAATAATAATAAAAAACCGCGCGAGCTGGAGAGAGATTCGGTTTGTCCGGCGGCGGTCCGCACCGTGCGGTATATATTGGTAGGTAGGTAGGTATACGATGGGTACCTACCACAGCTGCAACGAACGCGACGCGACGGTTATAAATTTATATAAATAATAATAATAATATGATAAATGAGCTCGGCGGCGATCTCTCTTCCGAGCTGTGCGTGACCGACCGCAAGTGCAGACGATGTCGTCTATGTATACGAAACGTGATGATAATATTATTATAATAATATTATATATTGAGAGGTCGAGATTTATATTATATACAATATACATAATAGTAATAGTACATAGGTATATATGCACTGATGATCCGATCGGATTACAGCAGGTATATATATATATATACATATATACAGGATAAGTTTATGATATATTTACGTTATACCAATATATAAACGTCGTGGAAACCGACAAAGTGCACTATAGCTGGGTTCCTACCAGGAAAAGCGGTGGCGTTTGTATAAATACGAAGGCTATGGTATATATTATATATTACTATCGTGTACGTTATTATAATTATTATTAATACTGTACCTATACCGAGAATATAATTTATGTATATATATATAATATATATAAGTCATCGTCATTGTGCGTGAGACACGGTCTGTCTCTGCGGTTTTGCGCGAAAACCGTTATAATATTATATACCAGCGACAAATGGATGAATCGTCGTCGTCGTTGTTCCGGCCTCCTCCGGTCTCGAACAATAAAACAATTATTTTTTTAAAAAAACCGTTGGTATTTTTGCGTCGACACTGCAGTTTTTCGGTCAACTCTTTACTGTCATTTTCCTAGGTGTGTCAGGGTCGACCGATATGACTCGTTTTTCGCAACAGAGCGTATAATATACGCGTATTCCTATACTAGCACGCGGTGAAAATCCAATCACCAAATATATTATAGATACTGAATGATACGGTGCACAAGCATAATACAACGAGCAACGAGTTATATTGATATATAATATACATATTGTTCGATCACCGCGGCCGCCGCGTAATTCGGTTTTGCTGGTGGACGAAAACGGGCGACGACGATCTATACCTACGTGGCTACGTACAATAAACCTATGTATAATAATAATATACCTACATTAGCTATTAACTATTATTACCACTGCCGATAATATTAAGTATAAAATATGTAAAATATATTATATTAAACGCGTATACGGAGCATAATAATATAAGGCTTTTAGTACGTCGAACATATGCATATTATATTATATATTATGTACATAATCTATGTATACTGCACACACACTGCTCACATACTATATATAGTATATTGTGCGCAGAGTAATTTACCGAGCGAAAAGGAATTTTAAGCCGGATACGAGCAGTGGAACCCTATTATATGCGCTGCAGCAGAGACATACCTATTATAATATGTATTGACACGATTATTGATGTATGTAGGAATATGATGTATAGAGGTACCTGCGTGGAGCGTTTACCGACGCCTATAGAAATTCGGACGAAGACGACCACAATATAATGTATAAGTAGGTAAGTGTATTATTTTGTTCGCTCTGTCGTTTTGAAATTCATGATCGAAACCCGTTTTTGCAAGAACGAAATACGCACATTTATATATAGAATAATAATATCATTGTTGTCCAAGCACCGGCTTCTCGATCGAATTTGCAGAAAATCCTTCACATCAAGACGACGGGTAAGATAAAAAATTCGCATCGTCGTGTGCTCAGGGTATTTGCATACAGAGATCTGCAATATTAGTGTACCGTGCAGTGGTTCCTTTATAATGTTAACCGAGAAACACAAAAACGAGTGTAATTATGATTTTTATAGGTAAATTATTGGTATAGACCTTACAATAAAAGACATCGTCAAAACCGTGGAAAAATGATTAATAATTGAAAAAGACAATCGTCTGTGTTTTGTAGCATAAACGATAGAAATGACGAAAAACGGCACACTGAATTCGAAAATATAATAATGTACGAAATAAATGAATATGTAATATTATTACTTGAGCTCAGAGAAGCTAGTACGAGTGCATCACAGCCAAGACACTGCAACAAAATGTACCTGGGAAAATATTTTTGAGAATCGCAGAGCCGACGACGTCGAAATCGAAAACATAATAATATCATCGACGATCGATTTCCGATTTTCTTTGTTGAGCGTGATATTATTATTGTCCTGTATTATTATAGTTCTACGCAGTCCATCAGCTATATAGACGTCATCCATCCAATGAAATATAGCAGCTTCACAACGAATTCTGACGTGCGCGTTCCAGTACAACATTGTTGTATACATAATATATAATATAGTAATGCTATATGTACATAATTTGATGCTATAAGTGTAAATCACGATACACATATATATGTATATATGAGAATAATATAATGTTTTATACACGGCGTCGTTATTATTAATATTTTATCGCGTATATAGATACTCCGAGGACGAAAATATATGAAAATTGAATGAGATCGGTAGAAAAACTGTCGCGGTCGAGCGTTACATAAATAAATATATAATATTATACATAGGTACAAAACGTCATATTACCTATATTATCTGGTATAATTTCGTCGATATTCGATTATTTTTTCACAGGCTGTTTTGAAATCCAAACGATCGTTACTGCGCACGTCGACGGTGAAACGACGTATACGTGTAGGCACCATGGACACATGTCTTGCTTAACCCGCGAGCGATTGTGGTATAGCAGTTTCAAACGTTACTTAGGCACAGATATTGGGTATGTTTTTTATTTACGGAAAAACGCCGACGTGTATAAATACTATAAATATAACACTTGATTAAGGCGAAAATCGATGAGTTGAGCGCGGTCGGGGTGAGACACAAAAACCGTTACCGCTCAGAAAAAAAATAAAAAACGAAATCACATCGCGATCAGAACTGGATTTGGGCACTATGAGGTTCTCCGTAGTTCGCTCCGCGGCACACGCTCGACGACAATAGTTAGTTAGGTGTAAAGTTCAATGCAACCACAATTTTAAAACGTTACTTGATGTATATTAATAATATTTTTAGAACGATCCATAACATGTACCTTTCAGTGAAATGCCGTACCTATATTATATACATAGGTAGGCACATAAATCGGTAAGTCCATCCGAATTATTGAGAAATGAGACCGACATCTGTGCGATTATTAATATTATTTGAACTAGAAGTAGTTAAAACTGTTAAAAGCATTTACGTCTTATGACGTTTATTGACATAATATGTGTACGACGGCGTTTGGCTTTTTCAAAACCGATTATTCCGTGTAGAGCATTTGTTTTTCGTTTTGCGCAGTTAAACCTAAACTCATCGTCTTCGACTATACTACAATGTTTCCACGGACAAACACGAAGATTCCTTAACCTATACCTGTGTATGCGAAATAATTATATTATCTATAATCATACGTTAGATACAACAATTACATAACATAATAAAATTTTTATGATTCACCCAAAAATACCATTATAAGTACTGCATAGATAATAATAATGTTAATTAACAATAATAATAATAATAACTAATGATAATTTATAATATAGAAAGAATATTATATTATTTTCATTATCGGACCAAAAAACCATACAATTTTTTAGTCAATTTCACTACGATTTTTACGGTCATTAATTTCAGGAAATATTAAAATATTTCATTTTCGAGCAATTTATAAGGTTATTAAATTGACCCACTATTACGCCACCTATGTATTGCGGGCGAAACACTAATAAATAACATAGAAGCATATTATTTATAACAAACCTAACACAAAAAAAAAAATTAAAACTCGCACTTCAATAATACATTATCAATATATATTACTAATAAATAATACAGACCAAACGCTATATCAGACTTGGTACAGAAATTTAAGTCTAAAGACAACAGAACAAGTACAACGTTGCTTATTTTGTTATTATTACAATTTTATATACACATATTTTTCAAATTGTTTTATAGTAATTTATTTACAAGATGTAAAAATAATAATAATAATTGTAATAATTATAATAATAATATATAATAATAATGATGATAATAATAATATTTATAATAATAATAATAATAATAATGATAATAATAATAAAAAGATAATAATATTTAATAAAAAAAGTTGATGAAAAAAAACCGATTCAGGTTTACAATTAATATAATATGATCTTTTTTTTGTTTGAGCTGTAAACCTTAAAAACACTACAGAAAAATAATACAATAATAATATTATCACAACACTGCATCCGTGTCGGATTCAATGTTATCGAATTCGCATGCACAGCAGGAAAACAATAGGTTCTCCTGCCAGCATGGTCGTCAGCCTATACGTTTAGTGTAATATTTATAGGTGGTTTTCATCAACAACGAAAAAATTATAATCATAATAGTAATAATAATAATAATCATAAAAATAAAAATAATCATAAAAATAACGCGAATTGTGTTTGGGGAATCAGATTCCCTATTCATATAATTAACTTAAAATAATATGTTTAAGATGAAATAATAACCATACTAACGCTTGTTGCATATTTATTTAAAATTAATTTTATCGTTTTGGAGAAATTATCAAAGTTGTTATCTTTATAATATATAATATTTTATATATTGTTCCTTAAAAATATATACCCTATTTAATATTCATTTTTATCTCCAGAATCACTTAATCACGATACAACAATATTTACATATATATATTTTTTTTATACAAATTATTATTATTTTATTCGATTTTGTATTTGTTTACAATATATATATTGTATAAATATATAATATATATATTATAATTACGCATTTATATATATATTTAAAAATATTAATTAAAATTGGGAAACAATGGCACAAAAACAACTCGGTTCGTCGTAAATGGCAAGAAACATATTATGTAATTGGGGTTTATCGGTGTGTATAGAAGGAAAAATGTAAATATACACATTAAAATGATTAAAAAAAAAAATCACACACACATACAGTTGTTTCATTTAGTGGGGATTGTTGGTCAGGAAATCAAAAAGATAGGAAACTTCACGACTCACAGCCAAAGAGTATAATAATATAAGAACGAAAGACGTTCAAGTCAAATTAATAATCATACATCACACTAAATTATTGTAAACAGAGTAAAAATACAACTATGGAAAAAATTTAAATAAACGTCGGCACGGTGGACGTGTACGCGATTATCATAAAAACTCAATGAAAAACACAAAGAAACACAGGATCGCGTCACATTATTATTATGTTGGGATTCTATCGATCGCACGTCATAATTTTGCGTTAGGTATTACTGCCGTATACCTACCTATCTATTATTAAGTTATATTATTGTGTGTTTGTTTTGAATTGTTTTTTTCTTTTTCCGTTCTCCGCGCCCAATTACACTATCAGCCCGCGAGTGATTTCTCACATCGAGCATATCGTTCAATTGACTGAACCGTGGACTTTAAGTATATCGTTATACCTATTACGAAGACAACGATATACTTAACGTCTACACGTTCAGGGCGGAAACAGAAAAAGAAAAAAAGAATAACAACAACGGGTTAGACGGAATCGTATAAATCAGAAAAACAGGAAAAAAAAATTAATAATGGTCTTGCACAGCATGACGGGTGGTTAGGACCTCCGAGGGAGGTGCGGCGAGTACTTTTAGAAGCGGTTTTCGTGTATCCATACCTACCTATCAACAATAATATTGAAATTTTAACGCCATAATATACTTACTGACGCATTTATATATGAACGCACGGTAATAGCGATTTTCGTACAGCGGCAACGCGCGGTGCTTAAAATCGCTGGTACCGAGTTCATATATAATACGCCCGCTGCAGTATGTTACGGAATTAGACGTGAACATTATTGTCGATAAGCGCAGAGATAACCAAAAATCGTCGACGATATTATTACTCCAGCCTTAAAAATATAATTTAATAACAATAATGGTAAAAATAGAAAGGAAAAACGAAAACAATTTGAAACGCTTGCAGTTTACATACTATAATATTGTCCTCCGCTGTGTGCCGACGGAGAGTCGACAACTTACGTAAAATAATATTATATTATGCTCTCTATTAAAACTTTTAATGTCATTATTATTATTTGGGCGATACCACTAAATACGTCATAATTATTCATATAATAATGTTATTATTTTGACGTACAGTATATTATGCTCACTCGTGTAAACGGTGCGAAAGAAAAAAAATTACGATCGTCGTCGTTGTAGATAATACGAGAATATGGGTACAGGTAGTTTTGGATAATGATGGAAATAAATGAACGATAATAAACAGTAAATAGTATAATTATATGATATAGTGTAAGAGGCGACTCGGTCAACACAGGGCCAGATCCGGTCGGGTATTTCTCCGAGTAATTTTATCGGAACATAAAATGATAACACTGATCACACGAGGCCCAAAGCGCGTTTTTATCTTCCTGAACCTACGACGGAAAACGTCCGGTTCATTGTAGCTTCTCGCCAGCGAGAAAAACAGATAGCTGACGCGTACCGGCGCGTAAGAGGACTTTTGTCTTAGAGGAAATGCCGAAAATATAATAATGAGCGAACAGGTGATACGAGACGGTACCCATCACTTACACGGGTTAACAATCGCCGTGTTTGACAACAAATCGCTGTGGTTTAAAGGCGGTTTGTTTTGTGTGTGCGTGTGAGACACACCTTCCACGCCCCGTCTAACGATCTCGTTTGAAAATCGGGGAAAAAAAAAGTAATAAAACACATCACTAATTGAATACAACATAATAACGTGTAATGTATATATATATATAAATATAATAATATAAATTTACACATTATTGAGTTCTGAGTATCTCTCTCTCTCTCCCCCCCGGCATCGGCTGTGGCGGCGTCAGCCAGATGAGAGAGGATGACGGGTAACCAGTTTTTTTTTTTTTTTATTATTAATATCGTGTTTTATTCATCTTTTTTTCATTCCGTTTGTTTTACCGGATTACGCGCGTAAGTCTGTGTGCGTGTGCGTTGTTTGACCGTCGATGTTATCGTATACAAATATAACATATAAATTTAAACCTCCTACCAAAAAAACGAACGTAGTACACTGCAATAACGAGTCCCTATAAATTATAATATAATATTTAAAGGATGTTTGCCGGGGCCTGCACCGCCAAAGAAGGTATTGTGTTTTCGTAAATTTATCGTTGTTTTTTGTTGTGTAGTACATGTTGTACACAGACGGGAGGGTATGTTTACGACATTTTAATTGACGTGCGATCACATATCATATGAAATGCAGTATTATAAGGCGATGTCGTCGTGAGGAGGAATTCGGCGGGTAGGACGGATTTCGATTTGGAGAGGCGGCGAGCATTTTCGTATTTGAATTACAAATTGTTGTGTGTGCGTTTTTTAATTTATGATTTTATTTTCGATTTTAATTTTATGGCACAATATCGGACGGCTCCGCGCCGCAGACTCGGCCGAAACACTAAATATGATAAATCGTAGGTATGTATTTGGATACCTAAATTAAATTGTTCACTTGCGCGCATTTTTCACATAATACAATAATATATATTATACCTAATGTATACATATTGTTAAAAAGGTGTTGGCGGGGGGCCGGCGGTATAGTTTTATTAAATTGTTTTCTTTTCGTCAAGAAAAAAAATACACTTTTATGTACAAAGCAAATGTATAGATACATAAAAGAGTCGTTTTGTGTGCGTTCGAATTAAAATTGTAGCCGCGGCAGGCGGTGATGGGGAGGAATCACGCGTAATATTATACCGCAACACACATATATTATATTATGCACGTTGATTTTCGACAAGTCGTCGCACATAACAACAATAACGGAAAATTATTATCATTTATTACACAGGAGACTAGACGAAAATTTTATCGGTTTTTAGTTTTTTTTTTTCGTTAAGCGGAGTTATTTTTTCATATTTTTTTACAAATTCCGACGACATGGTTTTTTTTTATTGATAAATGGTTCACACGGCCGACACGTGTTTACGTTTTTTGAAAACAAATTGAAAATTAATCAAAATAATAAATTTAAAAAAAAATTTAGGAAAAAAATAATCGTCATTACATTGAGAAATCTACTACTCGCAACTTGTGCATGTATAACACTTAAAAGTTTTGTTAATCGTTATTTTGACAATGTTATTTATAAAAAAAATCTCCAACGGCGGGAAAATGATCGCGGAACAAGACCAAAGTTTGCCCGCCGTTTGCGCAGTTTAAATGTATATAATAAGTATTAATAATTTTTTTGAATTTTTTTTGTTTTGTTTTTTTTATATATGGCTTACATGACACGCGTTGAGCGCGCTGCGCTGTCCATCGTCGGCTGTCCGTGAGGTCGGCGCTCTTGGACGTTGAGGAGAATGGTGCCGACAGCGATGAGGAGGAAGCTGCTGCGGCGGCTCGTCGGCTGGTTGATCGACGTCGCTTACATGTGGTGGCCCAAGTGGCCCATCTGGAGATCGGGCGACATGGAGTGCGGGTGGGACTGCTGCACGAGGTTCTGTTGCTGGCTGTGCGTCAGATATGGGTGGCTGTGGCCACCGGGCTGTTGGTGTCCCTGGGCAGCCGCCGACAGCCTGGACTCGAGCGGCATATACATGCGTAGCAGATCATTGCCTCCAAGCTGTTGCTGCTGTTGTTGCTGCTGCTGTTGCTGTTGCTGCTGGTGCAACTGCTGTTGCTGGCACAGTCTTGGACTGGGCGAGTGTCCACCCGATTGAACGGGTGGCGAGATCCTCTCAGACTTAATGCTGTCCGGGCTGTGAGACGTGGACGGCGGCCCCTGCTGGTACTGGTTCATGTCCGAGTACAGGTTGTAGCTGCCGTTCAAGTAGTGCATGGACGCAGCCGCGGCCGCGTTGTTGTTCATCTGCGGCATGTCGTACCGGTAACCTGCGGCCTGTGATGCAGCGGCCATGTGAGACGCGTACGACGGCTGTTGCGCATACGGATTCGGGTCGTGGTGCATGCCGAATCCGCCGTTGGGCATGTAACCGTTCATCTGGTGGTACAGCTCCCGGCTGCTGTTGAGCTGCTGCTGTGTAACGCCCGATACCTGGGAGACGGCGTTCCGGCCGCCTACAGAGTTGTCACACGGCTGTCCGCCGGCACCTCCTAAAGACAGTGGGCCACCACCGCCTGGTAATGGGTACTTTTCCTTCTTCATCAAAGTCTTTGTCTTGCGCCTTGGTCGGTACTTGTAGTCCGGGTGCTCCTTCATGTGCACGGCGCGCAATCGCTTGGCCTCGTCGATGAAAGGCCGTTTCTCCGTCTCGGTCAGCATTTTCCACTCGCTACCCAGCCGCTTGCTGATCTCCGAGTTGTGCATCTTCGGGTTTTCCTGGGCCATCTTGCGGCGCTGTCCACGGGACCACACCATAAACGCGTTCATTGGCCGTTTGACGCGGTCCACATTTTGGTTCTTGTTGGCCGATGACGAGTTATTGTTGTTCGGCGAAGGCAGCTGCAGCTGACCGCCGACGACGTGCCCGCCAACCACCTGGTGATGGTGGTGCGCGGCCTGCATGTGTTGATGATGCTGCTGTTGCTGCTGTTGTTGCTGTTGCTGTTGCTGTTGTTGCTGTTGTTGCTGCTGTTGCTGCTGTTGCTGCTGTTGCTGTTGGTGCAGTGCGGACTGTTGCTGTTGTTGCTGTTGCGACGGCGGCGGCGAGGACAGCGGCTGTTGTCCACCACTCTGTGGTCCCCCGAGTACGACGCCCGAGGACCCGATACCGGCCAACATGCCCATCTGGTTGAGGTTACCGTAAGTGTGGCCCATGTGCGCGGAAGCGTGGTGCACTCCTCCCGCCAACAGGCCGGAACAGTTTTTTATTTCGGCGTCCATTAGCATTTTATTTATCGCTGCGGTAGTTTGCAATCGGCGACGCGACTGCGGGTACGGATTATTGTCAATTATCGTCGGATATTTACCGTGCGTGGTGAAGAACGCGGGCGAAGTGCTCGCGTGACAGAGTCCACCCGCGGAGCCGGTGGTGGTGCGGCGGCGGTGCGATGTCGTCGGCTACTGCACGACCTGGTCAGACCAGTGTCATTCACGCAAGGAGCACACCAAAAATTGAACGAAAATCCTTTTAAAAAGACAAAAAGAAAAAACGAAAAAATAAAATAAAATACCTAATACGCGTAATTATTATCGCGTAAAGGTAAACTCGGAAAAAACCACTACGACGAATGCGGCGACGACGACGACGAACACGCGATCAACGCACGGACAAACGGTGTCATGTGTGTGGCGCGACGAGAAACACACGGCTGCGGCGGCGGCGTAAGGACACACACGCGCGAGAATTTTTAATAAACTGAGACCGTGATGGCGCGCGTGTACGTGCGGTACGAGCGTTGAACGTGTACGACTGCCGTTGTGCGACTACGCGGACGACAGAACGAGACTAGAGCGGCGCGCGATACGTTTGCGGCGGCGGCGGCGGCGGCGTTGGCTAGGCGGCGTGGCGGGGGGTTCGGCGCGCTCTCTCTCCCCGCCGAGCCGCGCGCAGGTACGTATCGATTGTCGCACCGCCTCCCGGGCCAATCGGGTGCCGAGACGTCACGGCCGCTGGGCGGCCACCACCGGGTGTACCATATTTTTACGCGACCGCCGCGCACGCCTAACCTTCTTTCCGCACGACGTGTACCCCCCGCCGCCGCTGTGCCACTGCACCGTCCCGCACCGCACCTCACCGCACCGTACACACAGGGGCCGGTGTCCCGCACCCCTCGAACAGCTCGGACAATCCTCTGAGCGCACGGACCGGGTTTGGGGTTAAAACAAAAATTTTGACGGCGGACAAGAAAAGACAAAATTCCCCTCCCCCCCCCCCCTTTACGGCCCCTCGTCGCCGGTGAATTGGCCGGACATTTCTGTGCCTTGAGTCTGGAAAAAATTGTCCAACAGAAGCCGCAAACGCTTTCCGCTGCTCCGGCCTTTGAGCAGCGATTACATATAGGACCGAATGACATGTAAACATGTATACCTAGGTATAATATTATAGAAGATACCTTCATCCTACACAATATAACATGAGTAACAGAGGACCCCGTCCACGTCGTCGTCATCGTCATCGGTTAGCACATTATTATTTTTATTGTGCTTTCTTCGCATCATTTTACGTCATTTTTATAATATCCGTACTCAAACCTATATGGAATCGTGTACGAATATGTAAACGTTCTAGTCCGTAGATATATTATAAAGTGTAAACTGCAGTATATATACCTGCAGCCTATACATTATTCTGTGTGCGATTATCTACTAATATATTATGCGCCAGACGCTTTGTGGCGGGCGCGTTATAACGTTATTACAGTGAATTATCGTTATTACCATATCATATACCTATTACATTATGTATACACGCATTATTTGATAAATAATAATGCTATGAAAAAAGGGTCTCTTCTAGTCCTCTTTATTATGCCTATAGCCTATTTATAGTATATACCTATAGGTATGTATATATAGCACAAGGTCATAGGTCAACAAAGTCTATATACACGCGAGTGTGATGCCAGGATAAGTATATATAGGCAGTTAATATTATTATAAACATTATATATATATATATATATAAGTACACAATGCGCCTATATATACACATCAACAGATCACACACACGCGACACACACACACACAATGCCTATGCGGATATACCTACCTATAAACATATTATATTTATATACGTTTACAATAATACATATTGTGCTTACCTATACACACGACCGTAAACCTGCAGTGGCGAGTGCATTATTATCTACACCGCATAATGTTTATTATAATATACACCTAGGTACGTATATATTGTATATGCCCATGCATCGCACACAATAACGCGTAACGGGTAAACCTTTTATACTTCTATATAACTGTCCGTAATACATTTAATAATAATGTACGAGTGCAGAATTTCTGCAGTGCGAGGGCACACGCAGCTACCGGTGCGCAAGACCGTATGGGTATTCATTATATTATTATCTATAATATATAATTTATAGGTATAAATAATAAAGTTATTACAGTATGATGCCTAATATTATATCATTAGCAATAGTGCAACCCATGCAGTACAAACCGCGATGAAGTAAATATGTAAGGAATAAGGATATTTATACGACGAGTATACCACCTATATGGTTTTCTGACATGCGAGTTTGTGCATATACCTACTATATTCATCGAGTTTGCCTTTAAAGTGTGGTATTTTACGATGTATAAACAAATAGGATAGGCATATCTACTACCATAGTATTGTAAAGTTTTACCGATTATGAAAAAAAAAATAATAACTGAGAAGTACAAACATGATAACGATTTTGACGCCATCCATTGATTAACTTATTAGTTATTACACTATTATACTTTGTGATTATTTTACTACGATATATATATATATTTATTTATATATATGTATTAAATAACTATTCTTATAAATAAAAAATCATAGTAAGTACCTGTTTAGTGCTTAATATATTTTACATTGGTTCATAGTGTTCATAGTTTCATACTAATATATAGAAATATATAACACTTTGTCATCGATTAAATCGTGTTTAGAAATGTAACATAACACCACTGAGCTGTTAATAATTAAATTGTTACCAATTGATTTATTGGTTAGATATCGCATAGTAATTATTGTAAATCATCTACACACATTATAATATATTCATATTTGACATCGTGTCTATATATGTATAGAGGCCGGTCGATGTTGAGTGCCCTGCAATAATAAATAGTAATAGTGTAAATAATAATAAACAATTTTATAAAATGTATTTTTGTAGGATATGCAATAATGACAAATTTGCACAGTGTGGCTGCGAAAAACATCAAATGAATATTCAGAGGAATAAAAAGCTACTATTTTATTTTATTTGTTTGACAGAGGAGTAGTCTCGTAGACCATATATTTTGCATTTTAATATTTTTCGAGGAAGCTGCGGGATATTTAATACACAAGGCTATATCTACATTCTAAATAAGTAATTACAATCATACATTTTTTATTCGACGTAAATTGTACATTTCCAAGTGGTATGGGGTCAAAAAAAAAAAATTAAATTAAATAAAGATATACTGGTGGATGTATATTACGCGCCGTCGAGTCCGCCCGAGGTTTAAGCCGTACAAATAATGCTTTTGTGCTTGACAATAGAATGACCCATTAAAAAAAAAAATATATATATGTACCTATAATATTTCCCCAACTTTTACCGTTCGAGGCACACAATTTATTGTTGAAAATAAAAATAAAAAATAAAAACATAAATCCTAATGGAACATCTTAATAAAACACAGCTGGACGACCCAAATGTTGGTAGACGAGGAGGTAAACAAACATTAAATAGTGGACATTTTTCGCACGTATTGCAGGGTATAAGCCGCTGTTTTGTAGGTCAGAGGAACGGATGTCGACGTGAAAGCCATTTACTATATTTAACTATTTATAGTAGGTACCTACTTTTTTAAAAATAATAATACAAAGCGTATATATTTTATGTGCTGAGTGGAATAATAATGCGATAAAAAAAATTAGAGTGAAAATGCTGAGCTCTTTAGAAATAATATGGAGTCTAAAAATAGAACATAATAATATATAGTTGATACACGTTATATAATCTACTAGGTACTTAAGCTCTTAAATTGACGTGTAAAAACAACAACAATTATTGTAAAGGCTTTAAATTATAAATGGTAGGTACTAGGTAGTAGGTACCAGCTACATATTTTTTCTCATTTCATGTAGATAATAGAAGTTAAAAGTTATAACATAATATAATGTTATAATTTGCGTACCGCAACAACGCGAAACCTTATGTCCCCTACCCCATGCCGCCTACTCACTATATTAATATCTATATATTATACGCCTATATTATATTGCCATGAATTTTCATTTTTTTTTTTAATAAATGTTATACGACTGTATACACCCGAGCAGTATATTATAATATATTATACTGGAAACGATTGGAACAATTTTGCGTATAAAGAGTAAAGACGTCAAAAGTGTTTTTCCCAGAATAAATCAAAGGCATCATTAAGACGAGGTTTATACTTATATATATTTATATCGTAAGACATAAAACTTATCCCCGCTGATTGCTATTATAGTTATGGTTATATGCCTCCGCCGCCGCCGTCGAGAATCTGCTTTATACGTGTGCAGTGCACAATCACGCGCGCGTGCACACACACACACTCACACATAATATAGGTATATATACACACTTTCAGAGTGTTATCGTGCTCAGTTCACCAAGTCACTACACATCCGGGTTATATATATTTTATATGTACATAAATGCATGTTATAGGTACATTCTAATTTCGACGCTTCAGACTAATTGCTGCAGCGCAGAGACGTCGTGTATAGATTATTTTATTGAAAAGATAGCCGCACAGGTAATAGATGATGGTAGGTATATACCTCGCCCGTATATAAATACATTTTCGCGGGAGAAGCGATTATATGGTTGCCGCCACGACCATAGTACATTAGTACCTATACCATAATAATATTAAATTATTCTGCGCAGATTTTATTATTATTATGTACCGCGCGGCGGGTACACAACACAATGATTTAAAAAAGCGTTTTTTTATTTCGGCCGAAAATTTCCAATTTTATAATTACGTCAAAATATTATATTTGGTACTTCGGCACGACGGTCTAAATTACGCTAAGATACATACACAAACGAATACCGTGATTCGTGACGTGAATGCAGCGCAGTAGGTATATATATATATGTGTGTACGAGAGCGCATGCGAACGTTTCTTTTTTTCTCTCCGATCTTTAAGACCTTCTTAATGAGTGTTATTACGACACGTTCACGAACCGCGGTAACAATATATATATAAATATACAGGTATCTCCTGCAAACGCGGTGTCGGCATCACCGGGGTAACCACTAACCGCGCGCCGCCGTTGGCTGTATTTAAGTAAAATACATATTATATACAACAATAATAATAATAATGGTACATACCTAGTAATAATATTACGCGTGTTGTAAAAAGCGACGAAACTATTAGCGAGAAGACGTAGTTTTTTGCATGACCCAGCCATCTATATAATATAATACATTGGTACGTGCTAAATGCAAATTAATTTAAACGGTATGAAATATAATTCGCGGAGACGAAATATCATAAATATAATAATTGTAGGTTGGATAAGTGGAAATTATCGTGTTACGACGCACTAGTTATAACCGCTGCTGCTTTACACTTAATATGTATACCTAGTTTACGTATATAGTACTTGTATTAGTTTATTATCCGCGGGAAAATTAACGATGATTGAAATATCAGTAAAAATACTTTTTAAAACCAATTATACCAGCTGCAGTATATTATTTGCCATTCAATACTCATAAAGTCCAAAATTCTAC